TATATATATATTATATAGTATACACATTTTGCTTTTTGTTTGGGGGGTGTAGGCCGCTAGAGGTAGCTAGTAGTAGCTAGGTAGCTAGTAGAAGAGGTAGCTAGTAGCTTCAGTAGCTACTACTTAGGACGCAGGATAGCTCACGCTTCTTCAAAGAAACTCCCCCCACCGCCCTAAAGGCGGCGGGAGGAACTTCCCTGAAGAAGCGCTCGCACTATTCATTTGGTTCCTAGATTTTTAGGAGGCCAACAAGTGATCATTTATGCGCATGACTGCAACTTCTTGTGCTCTGAGACTATTGGCATCGACAAAGATGTGCCGTACTTGCTGAACATGAACGAGGAAAGTCAGGGTGGAAAGATTGTGTTCAGAACGGTGAGTGGTGTGCTGCCCCTTAAGGCCTCAAGGAACGCACAGATTGAGGCGTACACGACAGATCCCAAAGGTTACACATGTATATTCATCATGCCCTAGATATTTGAGGTTGGCCAAGCGAGATTCATCCGGTTTGATGAGTCCTTTATTTACATGGTCCTGTTGGCCTGTTGATCCTGTTGAACATGAGGAATTGGCCTGCTTTCTTTCATTTTCATTTTTTCTGACTTTGTATAGAGTCATGTGCAGTTATGTGAAAGGGTATAGCAGATGTGCCAAAGAGTCTGACAGGATCCTGCTTTGTCAGGGAAGATGATGTACTTCCTCCCACTGAGGCTCGAGCTTTCTCAAGAAAACAACAGACAACAATATATTGTGATTTCTGTGCAGTTTGATATCACAATTAAGTGGCTGTTCGTTTTGTTTGTTCGTTTGTTTGTTCTCATAGATTCGACCTAGCCGCAAAATGCAAAATGGCCGAGCGCAGGCAGCCCATCACAATTGGTGCCAATACTGAGAACAAGATTGTGCTACAGGCATGGACAGAAGCTGTCGGACATCACTTGACTTCCACCCACTGGACACGTCGGGCCAGCCTAGCGCAGCCAAGCCAGGGTCTGGGGATGCCAGAACATCTCTGCGAGATTGAGAACCTCCCAGAGGGTGTGGTGGTTGGGCGGCTCAGGTTGATTCTGAAGTTGCTCGGTAGGCTGTTTTGGGGGTCTGAGGTCAGCACCTGCCAGCAGCCAGAAACTGGACATCCCGGCTTGAGCATGAAGGCGGCGTTGTAGGACTAGATTTAGTTGGGAACCGAAGTACTAGGAACTAGGATTCACGGATGCAGTAACCATCAGATAGCATGAACACATGAAGCAACGATCTGATTCCATCATATAGACACAGCATTATTTGTTATCCTTTGCTACTTCATCGTGAAAGTTACTACTTTGCCATGCTTGTGGGTGGACACAACCAAACAAAAAACTTTGGGAAGGAATTCTTGCAACCAACTACCACTATAATATATTTCTCAAAGTTCAACAACGACCATGAGCCTCGAAGAGTACATCCTCCCATCGCACTGCACTCATGAATTTATTGGGACATCCCCGAAACCCGCAAAGCCCGAACGGCCGTCTTTGATCCTCTCATCGCGTAGTTGAGTAGTTGTGTTCGAGAAGTGCTTCTGGGCAGGTGCAAACCTTCATGTTTATGTTTGTTTACGTTGATGTACAAACATAATTAATATTTTTCTTTGGCCATTTTCATGTCGCAAGAGAATGACTTGTATGGCAGGCTCGAGTGTGCGTGAACGGCTCTGCCATGAAGGAGAACGAGCGAAGGAAGCTCAAGGTACTCCCCCCGTTGCGCAGTCCTGGGGTCTCATCAGAGCTCACACCCCAATTATCGTTTGTGCTTGTTTGAACCGTAGAGACTTGGAACATCTGGGAACGACGGTCCAGCGATCACATTCTTATATATGCTCAGCCATTATGACAAAGAACATGAAGATGCACAATGAAGCATAGTTGTTGGCTTCATTGACAGACAGACAGACAGCCGGGCACAGACCCAGACACACACACAACACAGGCTGTGGAAACGCTTCAAGCAGTACGCCGATCTATCCAGCGGACAGAGAGTCAATGACAGCCTGGCCATGGGCACATGGACAAAACCCCTCGTGGAGTGCAATAGGCTTTGCTGGCAACCAAAACAATGAGAACGTTTGCAGACTTGTCAGTGGCGTGGAACAGATATGAAGCCTTAGGACCTTCGGATGCAACCACACACGCACACAAACACACACCCATGTGGTAGTGCAAAACTTCACGTTTGTGCCATGGCTGAGCCTGCAGAAGCGAGCTCAACGGGTTCACACCCGGTGGGTGCCTCAAAAACATATGGTATTATATAGTTAATTAAGTTTCCCTAAAACTCTAGCAACCAAATCATTAGCGCGAGCTATCCTGCGTCCAGTCGGTAGTTCGGTAGTAGCATTCTTGTAGCTACTACCTACCTCTAGCTACTTACCTCTACTGACGGCCTACCCCTTAAAAAGAATCGGGGGTCTGAGCGTGAAGCTGGAGGAGTAAAGCCTCAGCTTTGCACTTCCCTTTGCTTGAGGAGAAAGAAGCCGCCGCTGCGGCAAGCTCGCTGCAAGAGGTCTTCAAATCAAGCTTGTGTCAGGAGACACAAGAATTCTGAGAAAGAGTCTCATTTGAGGAAGAAACCTGACTCGCAACAGAAACATGGTGAGGGGTGAAGAAGGTTTTGCTTTAGAAGTAAACCAGCTGGTTATTTGTGATACCTGTCAATGCTTAGATGTTTCAATCAAGATTTGTTATAGGTGGATGCGAGAATGCGAGTGAAAACATGACCTGTTTCACAAGACATGGCTTTGCTCACAGGAGGTCAACACAAATGGTGAGACCAAGACAAAGTGCCGTGAAGAGGCCAGAAGCGATTCCTCCTGGATTAAGGAAACAAACGAATTCAGGCCTTTGCCCTTGCTCATCAGGTTTACGAGCTGTGACAACTGGTTTTCAGCTCTTCAGCAGACTTCACCATGATCTACTGCAGTTTTCTTCTGTGGTAAGTGTATGCCCCTGGAGACGAGATCATGGTGGCAGCAGGCGACCCCAACAAAGTACAGCAAGTGTGTTGAGGATGGACTACACATCAATCTACCATGTTTGGGTCTTCCACAGATAGTTCAGGCGCAAGTAGATATGCTTTTCTATTTGACTGCACATCCATATCAAGACCATATTCATGTATGGTCTACGGTTGCAAGCCTGCAACGGCCCCAACAGGACCTGGAAGAATTTCGGCAGCGTCAGCAGCCTCAGTGCTGGTGGAAATGGAAGCTCCACATTTTTCAAGCACCTTTCAGACTTTGCTTCAAGTGGTCCTATCTGGTGGATTGTACGGTGCAGGTAGGATAATTCCATGGTCAAGGATATTTACTGTATTTTGTTTTGTTTGAGCCTAGCCTACCTAGTGAAGCCACTGAATCGAGCAGCACCGACAAACCCATGAGGTTTGCAAAGCTTCAAGACACATTGGTGGTTCAATAAGCCTCTGGCCGTCTGTCCACTGGCCGCAGCTCGCAAAGGCGCCTTTGTCGTGGGGCTGAAGCCCAGAAAGGGACAGAAAGGAGATGACCAGATAGATGTGAACTCTGTTGTTCTGCGATTTGGTGAACTCAACTCATGGCTGCGAGGCTGGTCCAACATTGGCGTCGAACTGAGACCTGAAGAGACAACCAGCTGTGTCTTTCGTCAAGAAATGCTCAGTTCGATGGGCACTGGTTTTTGACAAATAATGTTGTGGAAGAAAATGGCTCGAGAATATGGGGGTGATTCTTCCAAGCAACTTGTTGATGAGCCTAAAGCTTGATCCGTTTGACAGTTTTTTCATGAACAGGTCAAGACACAATATCTTGCGCAAAGCTCAGAACTCTCTTGCGCTCAGAGTGTTGCATGTCCTGCTGACTTTACTGTTGGGGCTTAATCATAACCTTTCAGGGTTGAAAGATGGTAAGGTGACTTGCTCCGCTGGCCTGTATACAAGATCTCTTTCTTTCTTTCTTTCTTTATTTCTTTTCCTCTCTCTCTCTCTCTCTACGGCACATTCGAGATATTGCGCACTGACACGGCTTGCGGTTTGCCACACGCCAGCCTAAGTGAAAACCTAAGGAAACAGGACAGGTATAAGTAAGGTGGTCTGAACATCCAGGGAGTCCTCTCTCGTAGTTAGGAGGCCAAAGTCTCAAAGTTCAATTCCAAGGATCGCGAACGACAAATCTGCAGAGTGCATCAGCCCTTGACAGCAGCAAAAACCTCTTCATCCTGAAACAGCCTCCAAGAGACTAGAATGGGATCGTGGTTACGAAAATCACAAGTTGCAGGTATGTCACGGTGATCAGCCGTGATATCCTAGTCAACTGCATGGAGCTTCGTTGGCGACAGCCATGCAGCGACTCTGTCGCCCCCCTGCAATTTTCAAACCTAAACCTAAAGTCAACGGATTCCCTGTGAGTCCAAGGATGTCACACGCACTCCTCCCACAAGGGGAGGCGCGGAAAAGCTAAAGCTTAGACAAATGTGCATGTGTGCGCGTAAAGCAGACAAATGGATGAGGACATGAAAAGAGGACAAGACAGACCAGGTGTAGGTGGTTGCAATGAAAAGAAACTAAGTGACCAGCGACAACCGATGAACCCAACCTCCTTGTAACAACCTGGGCGACCTCAAACCTAGATTTCATGTACAAGTGCGCGTACACTAAGGGCAGGACCGATGTGCACGCAAAAGAAGGAAAGGAATGAGATGACAGGACGTGAGGCGGAGAAGACATGAAAAGAAGAAGGAAAGGAAGTGTGTGTGAAAGGGGAAGAATAGAGGGAACCATGTGGAGGGGCCGCCAACAACGAAGCCAAACCTCATTAGATAATTGACATATGTGAACCTAGCCTGAATTTGGTATGTACAAGCTGTGTGCACCTAACATTAAGGCAGGCCCCAATGGGCCGAAAAGAATTTTCTGACCGCTCTGGTCACCTTGTGCCATGCCAAGTGGCGGGCGACTTGAGTCCGATATGGATATGTGGCAATGTGTACGGTGGAGTACTGGGTGATTGTATTGGTGGAATGCCAGTATCGCAGAGAGAGTTCTACGGAGATGGGTGTGTTGTTGGCCAATTGCTTAAGTTTGGCTCTCCGGTTATGTTCTCTGCATGGGATGCCAATGGATGTGGAGCCAACGTAGCAGTGGCCATGTTGGTGGTAAAGGCGTTGAGTGTCGTGAGAGTTGAAGTACAGTTTGATGTAAACAGAATTGGGTGAAAGGAAACGGGAGAATGTGCAAGTGTCTGGGCGGACGTTGAGTTGGGTCAGGCGGGAGCGCCATTGCTTGGAGCGGAAGGTGTGGGAGGGAAAGATGAAGAGGGCTGTGATGTGGAGTAGTCCGAGGGCGTAGATGGCCTCAGCACGGTCGACATAAGTGGCATGGTGAAGAGTGTGTGATAGTGCTTTGTGGAGTGTGCGGATCTGTTGTAGTGTGGTAAGGTTGGAGCCTCGGCGCGCTGTATGAGCGAGTCAACAGGCCATGGCAGCCCCGGTGGCCACCATTTGCAGCAAGCTGCGGATGCCCAAGCGGGTGACCTTGCCGAGTGGAATGCCATAGCGCACCGCTGCTTTCTGAAGCTGAGTTTCAGTGACTCCCGATGACTGCAGGAGCTTGAGAATTTCGATAGCCGAGTCTTGGATGACCTCATCAAACGGTTGGCCCAGGTGCTAATATACTGCGCGAACCACTTGCGTGTGGCCAGTGTGGCGGGGGCCGCTGGCGCTGCAGTGCTTTGGACGCCGTGGTATTCTGCGGGGATAGCTGGAGTCCATGGGCCTGTAGCTTTTCTGTGGCTCGTTGGAGTTCGGCCTCCTTTGAATGGAGCTGGCGATCAGCCGGGGCAGGAGCATGGTGACGGGTGGTGGCCAGGGTGACGTCCATCAGTGGTTGCATGAATGCTCGGGCGTCTGTGGTTTTTGATGGTGGAGTCCTGCCCTCGGAGCGGTGAAGTGCATCCGCGGTGGCGTCCAAATCAGTGTTTTGTTCCCTGATCTGCTGAATGAGATGTGTCAGGAACACCGACTCGGCAATGGATCTGGTGGGTACCAGGCTCGTATACTTGTTGTTGGAAAGGGATCGAGCTGTATAGTCTGAGGGTCCGTGAAAAGCAAGCAGCCAGGGAAAGAGCTGGAATGTCGGGAGGCCCGCCAATTGGCGG